TAGGTATCATGCTTGATATTCCATCTTCATTCGAGTACTGCTTAGATCCAGCAGACCTGGAAAATAATGAGAAACCATTAATAAAAGGAATCATTTCCCCATTGTTACTTACCCATGCCATCAACTTCGATATCCTCGGTCCGATCTCTACTGATGTGGGCTTCCTCTGGTCCAAATCTGTGAAATACATATATATTGGTGAATTATCAACAACATTTGCAATATAATGATCTTACCTTGTAGAAAAATCAAGTAGTAGAAAAATAATAACATTGATCCATCATTAACCTTACTATATTAGTTGAAGGTTATTACTAGTCTGGACTCTGGGTTTTGTCATCTTCTTCTTCTGCTCCATCTGGAATACCTAGTTAGTCCTCAACCTGAAAATAAGATAACTGCTAACTCAACCTAATAACCTAAAACGGTATAACCTGACAAGTGGGTCATTTTGGCGGGATTCTGGGAAAGTCCCGCCAAGATAGTGATATTTGACAGGGCTTTTTCTGATAACCTATGAAGGTATTGAAACGTGCCATCGCATTATTGCGGATTTAAATTGTATAATCAAAACTTACTAGGAAATATAAGTAGTCAAAGGACGGTCCACTGCCTACTACCTGCCAAGGGATAAAATTCCTAGTCAGAATTTGATTATCAGATATCATTTTCACAACTCGCTGTAGTTGATACATCTGGCCACCTGCGAACAAGGTATGGGTTGAATCAAGCATTTCTGCAGCTTATTTGATAAATTTCTACATAGTAGCATTATTACTTGCAGGGCCAACAAAAACGATTTCTAGTAGTCAATAAGTGTACTTACTGCTATAACCACAGAGGCTTATATTATTGTCTGCTTTGCTTTTGCTTTCTGCATGGTACCCTGGGTACACCAGCCTGCATATACCTCCTGCCTAGCATGTCAATTGTAGTTTTAATACAGAGGGTAGCCAACAACGATTCGACCTGTGGATCAGAAGCTGACTTGAGCAGGCCAGACTGCTTATATCTAACACTTACCTGTCTTACTTGCTGTGGGACACTCCTGCTCCAAGCTGCCACCGTCACCTCTAAAAATCCTTCAAAGTGAGCTGTATCTAGTCCTTCTTTTAGTTGCACTAATTCAGGATATAATGCATTGACCTCACCCAGTATTAGCCTAGTTTAAGTATAGTATATCTAGTGATCAACCTGTACACTTTTGGTATCGATACCAGAGGGAAAGCTGGGTAAGTTTCCACTGCAACTTGCAATCTGGATTGTGTTATTATGGTTTCATCTGTAATAGTCATCACTTGCTGCTCATAAATCACTACTTAAAGTTCTCAGAATTAACCACCACTTACCACCATATGAAGTGAACCAACCTCAACCAACAATAAAGGAATATTGTACTTTTACACCCACCCCCTGAGTTTTATTATTCACATAAGTAAATACCCATTGTTTTTAGTGCCCCCTTTTCAGGGACTAAGCAAACAACGTTATATCAACTCTCCAAGTTGTACAAGGTCAACTATTCCAAGAATGAGCGAGTGGACTAATGATGAATTATTGACATTCAATTAGTCCACTGCATCGTTGGGGACCAGGGGACCAGATAATCTTCCATTTCCACTAACGAAGCAAGGTTGCCAAGTCACCAATTTTAATCATGTTATTAAAAAATTGTTAGAGTCCTTTCGTTTGTAAAGCACCCCTTTTCTTGGGTTGGCCTATACAGGGGTCTTCACAAAGTTACTGATTCACTGGGTTCGTGAATACTTAGGCAGGAGTAAGATTAGTGTATATAGACATTAATACGCAGTTCAAAATACATGAATCTCTATTCAGCAATCATCATAATATGGACAGGCAGAGTTGACATGGAGGTAAAACAGATGTGCTCACATAATATTGGTTGGTTATACATGATGACAGGATGATGTACACTCGCACTATTATACCGCGTCACTTTGAAAAGTTAATACAGTTTTATGAAAGTTCAATAATTCTCGATACACATCTATTGCAGCAACTCAGCAACACAATATGTTCACTAGGTACAGACTTTTAAGCAATTTCTAATATCAACTACATATCACGTATAACTAGACTGTTTAGCAGAGTTACTGGTTCAAGACATGAGACTTCGCATCAAGAGTTCGACCAAGACTGAATTTTATTCCAAAATTTCCTGCTTTTATACTGAGATTTGGTCATAAATTTAATCAGAATTCATTAGATTTTCGCTTAGTTGAATTGACCTCGGATTAAAGTGCAAAAAGAGAGGCTTCAGATGTTTTCAGAAATAGTTTTCAATCTGATGGAATTTTATCATTAATCATTTTGCAAAAATCGATGTCAGTTGACCTCGGGTATTACTTAAAATTGAGTACAGAAAAAGGATTTCAATGTTCATCTGAAAAGATTTTAAACTAATTGATTTTTGTAATAATTCATCTGGCCTCTACCTATCTTTGGCCCGCCCCTCTGCTGTGGCTCAGTTACTTAGGTTATAAATTCCCTGTATATACACTCTTTTTTAACTTTTATTCACATCTTTTTTGCTGTTCCTGTGTGCCACTATCAACAATGTTACAAAGGTAAAGTACCTAATAATAAACCTATTACATATATGCATTTCTCGGGATTTGAAACAAATATTCATATTTCCAACAAGAGTTAATTCACGTAATAATATTGCTCTATGAATCTATCCTTCTGATACTTATTGAATGCATTCCAGTTCAGATACCTAATTGAAACGACCTTCTAATTCCTATAAGTGTAAAATGTCTAGCATTAGTATTCGTTATGATATTTTTGGTCGAGTCTTCGCGTTCATTACACGTTGACTGAAACATAATGGAAGGAACCCATGATATTATTCTGAATTCTTGTCCAAATATTTCTTATACTACATAACAAAATATTATGTGAATGTTGGAGACTTGGCAACATTGTGCTGAATGCTGAGAACTAACAAGACCACGCCCACAATTCATGCGCCGTTGTTGTCACGTCTACCCGAGCGTTAACCGGTTCAAATGTTCTCCAGTGTGAATTAATATGATTATTATTTACACAAATGTTTTATAACCAATAAGCCACAACATATGAGGAAACATTTGAGATAATTGGTTTTTTGTTGCGAATTAGGAATATCATCAATACATTTTTGAGAATTTATGGATTATTGAATGAATAATATTCCTTAAGTTCCCAATCGTATTTCAACATATGTGAACTGTGCTATGGTCTGCCCCTATCTACTAAATCGTGACGTCAGTTTTTACTGGCGGTAGATTTCTAGCTGTTCCAAAATCACCGTGGCATTATTGATGATTTTGACACCTCGAAATCGACTGAAAAATTCTAAAAAAATGTGAAATTGAAACGTATTTGAGTGGTGGTGTTTAAGAAATAAAAAGAAATTAATCCACTCGCCTTCTTTGAAGATTTCTTGATTTTATGGGATCGAGACAAGAAATGAAGTGCCAAGAAATGGCAAGACAAGAAACTACCAATATCTTGAAACATTTTTCGAGACAAAAAATAACATCAAGACATAACCTGACCTACACGACCCTACACGACCTGACCAACAGACAATTAAATCAAGACCCGCGCTTCGGAAGAAGGCGCCCAATTCACCAAATATAAGATAAAAGAACGGAATTAAATCAATATCAATAAAAGTTGCATAATAATCATCAGATAATAAAACAAAAGAGTCTCTCCTATGATACCCTATAAAAAAGTAAACCAATAATAAATGACAGGAATAGAATGTCAACAAATTTCTCAGATGTCATTTCGTTATAGTTTTTATTCGGTTTTAGTTGTATTATAGAGAGATGAAAATTGTGTATATCATGAAGAATGGCTGTAAGAATAAGTGGACATCATGGTTACTGATGAGGATTCAGAAATCCGAAGTGATTTCATTGCAATAAAGTCATATAACCTGTGTGTGAGAGATAATATTTCCCATATCACTGATATGAATGATTATTTTTGGAAGTTTTCAAGCACATCAAGATCAGAGTTTATGCCAGTATACTTCTCCTATACATTCCAATTTTCATTTCAATGCTGAATATATTGGTAAGTTATATTCCTATATCATTATACATCATATTATTCATCCGATTTGAGGAAGAATGTCAATTCTCAATTTCGGAGGATTTTATTCTTTATTTTTCATGTTCTTCTTTTGAATGTTCATCAGATATAATTCAATGTTCGACGAGGCAAATAGCCAGGAAAGTAGTTGTTTTCTGTTGAATATTCAGAATGATGTGTGCATATACATATTTTTGTCTGAAGGAGAATGCAAATTCTCAATTTCAAAAGTTTTTATATTTTATTTTCAAACTCTTATCGTGTGTGTTCAATAGATATAATTCAATGTTCGTCGTGGCATATAGCCAGGAAAGTAGTTGTTTTCTATTGAATCAACTGAGAAAGAGTAAATATTCTCATCACATAGAGAATGCGAATTCTCAATGTATTGCTTTATATAAATATATATCCATTTTTGTATGTTCATAATTCATCTGAGAATATTCCTTTTCAACAATAATAATAAGACATAAACTCAATTTTGCTTCCCATTAGGGTAGGGAACCACCACGCAAAGTCAGGCTAGGAAACACACATTAGACAAAAAGTTTTAAAAGTCGGAAGACTGAAACCAAGTAAGGGATTTTTATAAAACATATGCAGATTGCCAAATGCATAAGGTTGAAGTCCACTCGTTAGTGAGTGGGGGTAGATGGACATGGGGATGAGGAGCTATCATATAACGTAAGCTAGTTATATGGCGGCACTTGATCCTGGACATTCAACCTTTCGGGGGGCGTGGTGGAGACAAGAATTCTCGTCTTGATCCATTCCTCAAAAGAATGACCTCAACCACAATTTGATTCGATGTTTGAAAATTAATTCGAATGAAATTATCAAGCTCCCATGGTTATGTAGCCAATTCATTAATGTTTTGTTTTTTCTTCCAGAAAATGTGATTAGCTATGAAGCTCCAAGAGGAGAAGTCAGAGAACCTGATATAGATCTAGAAGATATCAGTTACGATGGAACACTCAGTGGAAGGATGATGGAAGGTGGTTTAGGACAATTGGTAGATGGATTGTATGGGGATGATGATTATCAGAAACAATTACAGGGTGAACATTCAGGTATGTGAAACAATCAGAATTATGTTTTGATATGAGACAGGTAGGAACGTGGTCGTGTATGGTCGAGACGATATGATATGTACCAGTTCAATGATTGTTCAATGGTATCATCTGCGATATTCATGAGGTTTAAATATTCCAGAACATTCCAATGAATAATGTTTTTTTTATATCTACTCGCCATATTCATCAGTAATATCAGTATCGTTCCTAACTTCATGCCAGGCGCGGTACAAGCTAATTCCTATCAAAATAAATGTCTCAAATCTTCACTTGATTTTGTAGCTATTCACAATTTCAACTGAGAATTTGATGCAACCACGACAACCAAGTCGAATTTCCCTTTAGTTTGTTTGACAACTGAACTCCTAGACTGAACTTGATATAACAAGATTTTAGTAGGTAATATGCTGAACAATGCTGGATAGGTATACAAGACGTGTCTAAATCCTTCGAACCATTTTCATCACGTGATATGTTGAGATTCGTGTTTTTTTATGATTATTTTCAATGATGAAATTGTAGAGGCTGAGTTTGACCAGGGAGTTTTATTCTGGTCCACTAATAGCATGGAGTCATTCCACTGTGATCATTTGTTTAGTGATTTAGGCGAGGATTTAGGCTTTCGAAGATGTTTTTCCTTCCTCTTGAGACACCGAGGATCTCGTTAATAATTCTAAGTTGTTCTACGAGTGAATGCGCATGCGTCCATAATGTATCACGTGATTCACTGTGACCAATCTGACAATGAGGTTTGGGAATGATTTGAAAACTCTGGGCTCTCGTGGTATACACGACAAATAGCATTGCTCCAATGGAATGAAAATCTGAACTGATAAAAGATGTTGATCCTCTATTTGTTATTAGTGGAGAAAATATTATATATACCTCAGGTGAGAATGCTATTACATAGCTCACTTCTCACCCTAGGTGTATAATACACTATTGTAGTTCGCTGAACTAGAAATAAGTAGGAAATGGAATGATGAAATTGTGTTGGAAAATTGGTAGGCAACATAGAAAAAATTAGCACCTCCGTAATCAGTACCTATCTTCAATTATTATTATTTTATTTTCTATACAAAATATTGTAAATCACTCTATTCGACATACTTAGTTTCTTCACGTTCTAGTTTCTTACTACAATGGACCCGTGCCTGATTTAATGAAATGCTCGGTGTGTTCTATAAAAATATAAAAAACACGCAGAACCGCTTGGATCATTAATTATGCAAACATTAATTTAACCAAAAAACGATTATCTGAACTTTTATGGTCCAGCTGAAGCTATTAATCAATGTAAAAAGTCACAATGTCTTCTTTGCTGCTTTTCTTTTATTCATCAGTATACCATCTAGTATATGGTCTTTTCCATTAGTTCGTGAGCCAATGTAGATAATTATGAGAATGACATGCTCATGCTTACGATGAATTGTGAATCTGGGAAGGCAAAATGATCCTCATTAGCTGAATAGCGTGATTCTTTATGCAGGTAATTACGCGAAAAAGGTTCATCACTTTATTATCACCTCGATTACTCTTGTGAGTTGTAAAGATGTTTCTTGCTCCCTGACTCTCGATTAGCGTTCGTCGACAAATGAATCTGTCAGAACGTCATGGCTTACTTGGGTGGTACGGCTCTATTTGGTCTTGAATAATTCGTACCTTGCAGATTCCACCGAATTAAGATTATCATTCATTCGATTGAATACCACCCAGACTTTCTAGTCAGACTATTGTTTGAAGAGAATTAATATATTATTTCTCATACATTTAGGCATACCGGATGTCCCAAGTTATCATGAACAGGCAATATCTCGCTTATTTGACAAGATAATTGAGAAATTCCAAAACTGCATACAATTTCATCAAAGTACCTTCCTAATGACATATATATAAAATCTATTAGATTTGACAGTTCTCTGGCAGCTACCCCTCCCCCTTTTTATTTGCAAATGGCACCCCTGTATATTGTCATTGGAAATTACGTCATTCAATTTAAAATACAATGATGTTGTATATGGGTGGCATTGAAATAAGTGCAAATATTTCATGCACTGAGAAAGCTCGACGTGTAGTATCGAATGGCACTAATAAAAAAAATGTAGGGATCAAAATAAAATTTGAGATCAGACTCCTTAATTAGAAGAATTAGAAAACATCTGACATCATGGGAATATTCCCTAGACTGTATCATATTATTGTGCTGAATATGTGCACTTATTTCAAAAACACCTTGTACATACTTCGTATTTTTCATTGATAATATCAAAAATATCAACATTTCGTGACTTGTTTCAATAAGTTATTCAATTATCCTTATGAAAATGAAAAATTGTCTCTGCTCATGTTTTTCGTTACAAACAGCCGATGCTTCCCATGTCGAAATAATTTTGAACACTTGCTGTGATTTTCAGTTCATTTTTTGATTCGTATGAATGATATTTTAGTTGAAATTCATACATCAAATGTTGCTATTTTTGTTGTCATAATAATGAAAAAATATCAAGTATATGCTATCGTTGTAGTCCTTATAGGATGCCACGCAATTTTCAATGACAATATACAGGGGGTGCCATTTGAAAATAAAATGTGGGGGATAACTGCCAGAGAACTGTCAAATATAATGATTTTTTCAAATGTCATTAGGAAGGAACTTCAATGTCATTCAATGCAGTTTTTTAATGTTTCAATTATCTCGTCAACTAAGCGGTAACGATAACTTGAGACACCCGGTATACCAGGAAAAGATGTCTTAAGAAACTTGAAAAACTTCAAGTTCGTTTGTGAGGATGACAATTTCGGCTTTGTTTTCGAAATTTGGTTGACTCGTTGACAAGATGAAATGTAAATGGAACATTGATACTTTTGCCAGTAAAATGCAAAAAACATCGATTCAACATGAAACCTCACTCATGCTTGGTAAAATTAGAGCTATAATTTGATACACAAAAAAAAATTGAGAATCGCTGTCATTAGATACTGTCTGTACATCCATTATTCTAGATTTTTTGGAATTTTCTCTCCTCGTTTCTATAAAATAAAAATATGGATATTATTCCAATATACGTGTAGTAAGGACAATTTGGATGATTAGCCCCATAATGTCACTGCGTTTAACGAATTTTCCTATCAGAGAGCCTAAAAGAAGAAGAGGTTCACTAACTTGTCAGTGACAATTTGTATTGAAAAAAGTTTGGAGAAGACGAATGAAGGTATATAGAAAACATAACAAATTTCCACTCAGCTTTGGACGTTTTGGGATCGAATCTGCTGCTGTTTTCAACATATGGTAGATTGAAATAATATCAAAATCATATGAAAAGAAGATAACAACCAGAAGAGAAAAATCGAGGTATCTGCTTTCATTCCTCTGAATGGAGACGATAGCATTGCTTCCTGTTCAGTTCATAAAGATAGAACATGGTATTCACTACTGAAATCTGAAAATGAAAATGGTAAATCCAAAAAAATCAATTGATGAAAACATCCTGTAACTCATTTGATTGCCAACGTCACCAACTGAGAAGTGTCAAGACCAATACGAATTTGCTATACAAATATCCATTTTTTATGTTGAAAACGGAAGCAGATTCGTTCCCGAGCGTCCAAAGCTAATTGAAAATTTGATATTTTTTTAACTACCTTTATTCCTCTTCTCCAAACATTTTTCTATTCAAATTGTCACTGACAAGCTAGTGAATTTTCCTCTTATGCTCTCTGATAGGGTAATTCTTCAAACCCAGTGACATTTTGGGGCAAATCATCTGACTTGTCCTTACTACACGTTCATTGAAATAATATTTATATTCTCATTTTATAGAAACAAGTAGAGAAAATCCCAAAAGATCTGGAAGAATGAATGCTGTCGTTAGAGTTGAAATTGGAAAAGTAATTGTTAGTGTCACCTTGTAGTATCTGATAAATCTTTTCATTTGCTTTTTTATCTTTCATAATCAATAGTTAATAGCGGCGCTATGGCTTGTGACGATTTTTGTCATTCACCCTGTATAATAACCTTGGTGCATGACTGCATAATTAGGTTTCTAGATTGAAATATTCCATGCAATAGTCATAGAGAAATTATAATGTTATACTCGCGCTTTGGATTGTTTGCTCTCTCTAGAAAACGCAGTTCTGTCTGACGGAATGAATGTTCCTCTGTTTTGTCTCAATAAATAAGCATTTCCGATTGACAAATAGACGGTTTCCTGTCTCCTGTGAGAACGCCTGTCGTCCGTCGAGTTGTTTTATGTGAAGAAGCCGCAGTGAAGTTCCCAAAATATCTGGCGCGGCAGCAAATAAACAGTGTACGCAGTAATCCTGGGATTTTGCCATGGCCGTGATTGTGATTCAAGATCCAATCCGACTCTCAAGATAATAAAGAACAGGAGAATATGTTCGAGAATGTGACAGGAAATGTCGTATCGATCCTGCATGATCATTCTATCCGATAGGAGATGGAGGCTGTGTAATTCTTACAGAAACATTATTGCTTGAAGAGGTGGAACGATGTGTTCGATATCTAGCATGTGAAGAGAAGAGTCTACGAGCACCAAATTGAAAGTTATACACATCTGACACATCTCGCGCTATAATAGTAAAGAAGAGCATACAGGGTGATCAGTTTCGCAATTTCTCAGTCTACTAGTCTATAAGTTTCTACAAGTTTCTACAAGTTTCTACAAGTTTCTATAAGTTTCTACAAGTTTCTACAAGTTTCTACAACTTTCTACAAGTTCTTACAAGTTTCTACAAGTTTCTACATGTTTCTACCAATCTACTATTCTACTAGACCTGGCAAATTAATTCCACTCCAGTTCTCCACAAGATTGGTACCTCTGATGCTGACCATGTTACCATTGGATCATATCAGAAGTTTCATTCGAGTCGAAATATACATTTTTTTGAGGTACAAAGATATCATCACAGTATTTGAAGTAATCCAATAATTGATCCACAACTCAAATGTTCACTTTATTTGGAATGTCTAATACCCTACTAGCGA